ACATTGTGCACAATTTTAACTTTGGTATGGTGTAGCAATACACAGATTATCAGAAGGAGTTTAAATTCAATAGATGTTATAAATGTGATCACATCTGCAAAATTTTAAACATTTAAATTTTAAATTTAAAAATTGAAATGTCAATTTTTAAAGTTAAATTTTTATTTTAAAGTTTTAAAATTTTTTAATTTAAAATATTTAAATTTTAAAGTTAACATTTGTTTACTTTTTTAACATTTAATTTTATAAATTTCAAAATTTTTATTTGATTGCTCTTTTTTTTAAAAGTCAGTACTGGTTGCATGTTGAGTCTGCCGTATGCAGGAAAATTGAGTTAAACTTTCGACAAAAATAAAAAATTTTGTCTTTGCTTAATTTATTTTTAATTTCCACTAGCGGCCAAAAAAGCCAGGTAATCAATCCCAGCATGAGGTGTTTATTGCTCTGAACTCGTCTGCAAAATCAGTATGACCCTGATCCGTAGCCTAGCTCTCGGTGTTATCAAAATAAAAACAAAGATAATTAGGTAGATAAGAACAACATGCATGTATGCAAACCTGTCTAACCTGTACCACATAGGACAATTAACACCTATAAACAATTACACTAAAGTTGTCCCTATTTATACAACCTGTCTAAGTTGTTCCACAAATTTGGAAAAGGCCTTTCTACATGTAAAACACGAATATTTCCTCTTTTTCTGTTCCTGATCGTATTTGTTTATTATTAGTGTTTGTTTAATGAAGTTTTGTATGTTATGGTATTTTTTTTTTCTGAAGGATTATGCGTTTATAGAAAAAGTGTTGTTCACAAAATTGCTGAGAGCCACAGTGACGGATTAAAGCGGGTGTTGAGGAGTCGGGCATTTAAATTATAGATCTACATTTGCACACTGAAAGTAGTCCATAAACTTTCCTTTTATATGTTTATTGTCATGTCTATCTTAGGCTAAGTATTAGACGGTTTAAAAATACATGTAGTTTATTCACACTTGTAATTTTATAGTAATTATGTCTATATTAGGCTAAGTATTAGACGGTTTAAAAAACATGTAGTTTATTCACACTTGTAATTTTATAGTTATTATGTCTATATTAGGCTAAGTATTAGACGTCTTAAAAATACATGTAGTTTATTCACACTTGTAATTTTATCCACTGCTACGAGGCGGGGGATGGGCAAAAATTCCATTCCGCTCCCACGTTAATCCAGCACGGAGAACCATAGGTAAGGTTGTTTGTTTTTTTTTTGTTGTTTTTTTTTTTTATAATGGTCGCCTATTTTGAACATTAACATTTTATTTAATATCAGACCGCTATCGCGAGACGTTTTAGGTTGTAAACAATGTACATGAGAATCTATTTTTGCAAAAACAATTGGGTCATTATAAGTAGCAGCGTTTGAGATGGCATTGTTTGGAAGACGTATATATTTATTTAGTTTGTGAATTTTAGTATCAGATGAGATATAAATTCATGAGAAATTCAACTTTGATATGTATGGATTGTAAAGATTTTAAAGTTTTCCCTCCGTGTATTTATTATTATTTCTGGGTTTTGTTTAGGCTAATCTTAACTTAGCAGTTGAATTAGCCGTCAATATACATACGGTATTGGGCCTCGTGCTGGTTTATTAAGAAAGGTGTTTCAGTATCGCATTTCTTGAAATTTTAAAACTATTTGATATTTCTTTCCAACAAGTTCAAAGTCTGTGCAAAAGAGATATATAGAAAGGGTTTGAAACAGATTGTTGAGTGCATAACGGTACACGTTACACCACCATATATTATCTATTCATTGATATCTTTACAGTATTTTGACCTTTTTAAGTTTTTTTTTTTTTAAATTAGAATCTTAAACATGTCAATTCGCTTGACTGTTAAAAGAGCAAAATTGTACAAGGCTCAGAAATGCACTAATTGCATCGAACCAGTATTCGTAGGTGAGTATTCTTTCCAAACAGGTTTATTAGTGTATTCGTATTTCCGAAGCTAGCTTACCTTTTCTGTCTAATACTTGATGTATAGGCTTGTGCTTGGATGTACATGTACAACTGACGTCTAGAAGGCGAAAGATGACAGGAGTAAGAGTAAGACGTGAAAGTGATGTATTATGTTCGGAGTATTCGCTTGGTATAGCAAACGGTGATCCTTCTTTTGCATTTAAACAAGGTGGATCTCTTTCAGGTTTATGTGAACATCATGGTCATTACACTATGTGTTTTAGCAAGGTAAATTTTCTGGCTCAACAGAAAACTATACTCAGTACTTAATGTTAACTAATGATCGTATATCACATTATTGTAATTACGAACAGGTTACAATATTTAATCAACTTCCATTTAAGCAAGCAATTCACTTTTGTTTAGCTTCTAAAACTTCACCAGAAGATGAAAAGTTCATAACATTTTTGAAAACATCTGTAAATGTACTGAGTGGATATTGCACAGGTATCTTGAACGCCATGTTGTTATGGACGAGTGAACTGACTTTACAAATACATGTTTAAGGGTTAATTTAAAGTTGAGTGTGAAGCTTCAAACACATACAAAATTTAATAAGCAGTACGTTTATCAGTAAGCCAGTCTTTTTTTTAAAGTTTATTATACGTTATTCTTTGTTGTAAAAATTGATGTACTACTTTTGCGGAAGTTTTAAAAATATTAGGCAAATAATGTATAATGTAAATATTTTCAGGAACCCTAATTAACCACTGACCTTGATTAGTTTTAAATTTTGGCTTTGTTCGTTTTAGACGACTTGACAACATGTCCCCCACTCCTATAAGTACCGATGAACTGTCCCAGGGGATTTTCATTTGTATATTTTTCAAAATTCATTCTCAGCAGGGGACTCAAGTGGCCGAATGGTCTAAAGCGTTGACCGTTACGGATTACTGCCATCTCACCTCTGCGTGAGTTCGACTCCAGACTCGGCTAACGTGGGTAAGTGAGAAAGCCTGCCAGTTGCTTCTCGTGGGTCGGTGGTTCTTCCCTGGACTTTTCAGGGTTTTTCCTCCACCATTAATACTGGCCGCCATGTACAGCCTATCTTGTGCGGAAAAATGGCGTTAAACCCAACAACAACAACAACAAATCATTCTCAGCAGTGGTGCATTGCGAGTTGAATTTCCTATGCCCCCCTATCCCAAGAGTACACGTAGTCTAAATCTTACATACAATATGACTTTAAAAATCAACACTGTTATAACACAGGCATTAAACTTCATGAAAAAGTATTCAATAAGCAAACAGCAATCACGCTACGTAAAAAAGAACTGTATGACGAGATCACAGCATTACGCTCAGTAAAATATAATGTAAATATAATTAGACCCACCAACCTTTCGCTTTACAGGCCAGTGTGTTCTGTGTTTCATAATGCGAAGTTTGTGATAAAAAAAAACGTTAAGAACATCTTATGAAACACATGCATTGAACAGTAGCATACTAACTGGGGTGGGAGTGGGCGGACGTCTTGGGGTGTCAAAACCCCTTTAGGCCAACATCATCGCACCTCGGCATTCGGTAATTTGATATATTAAATGTAAGCAATGCTTTTAGTACGATGTGTGTGTGTGTGTGTGTGTGTGTGTGTGTGTGTGTGAGAGAGAGAGAGAGAGAGAGAGAGAGAGAGAGAGAGAGAGAGAGAGAGAGAGACTTCCAAATATTTTGTTCCTTTTGGTTACTGTCATTCAACTACTTAGAGCATATCCAGACATTAAGTCTTTTCACGTTATAAATCGGAATATTTACAGAAAGGGACTTTGGACGAAATAAATACCTGGCGTTGCAGTTTAAATAAAATACCAAAAATGTTGCGGATTAACTAAAACGAAACTTTTTTTTTAAAACTCGGGCTCTCCAGTTAACTTTTATTCTGTGCGCCTGAAGGGAGAAGATAAACATCGTTGTTTTATTGTTTCTTGAAATGAAAACAATAAACCCTTTTTAAAATGTAACTTGGGTCATTCTCCTAGTTGTGCATCATCTTGTACGTTCATTTCTTGTTCGGCCGTTCCTTCCTACGTTCAGGGGCCCCGATTGGTCTAAAGCTCTCTCCGTTACGGATCACTGCCATCTTACCTCTGTCGACGTGTGTTGAGTCTAAGATTCGGCGAATGTGGATATGTGAGAAAGCGAGCCAGTAGCTTCTCGTGCGTGGGTCAGTGTTTTTTTTTTGTTGTTTTTTTTTTGTTTTTTTTGCGGATTTCCCGGTTTTTTCCACCACCATTAATACTGGACGCATGTATAGCCTATTGTATGCTCAAAAATGGCGTTATGGCCCACAATAACGACATTCATACGTTCGTTCCTATTCCGTCTAACTCTATATCAACGTCTGTTTGTTTCTTTATTTGTACATTGTGTTTAATACGCAAGCCATAAGATGGTGTACATTTTCAAGACTTTGTGAGGGGCCCCGAGTGGTCTAAAGCGCTGTCCATTACGGATCACTGCCATCTCACCTCTGTCTGCGTGTGTTCGAGTCTAGGATTCGGCGAATGTGGATATATGAGAAAGCTTGCCAGTAGCTTCACGTGGGTCGGTGGTTCTTTCCGGTGATTTCCCGGTTTCTTCCTCCACCATTAATACTGGCCGCCATAAATAGCCTATCGTGTGCTGAAAATGGCGTTAAGCCCAACAACAACATCAAGACTTTGTGGAATGCTTACACTTCGGGTAAGGAAAAATCCTCTCGATATTAGTCTCCAACGCTGAAAGGTCAATGTAACTGTAATTGAAAGAATGTCATTGGTTTCCGCACACTGAACAATTACTGAGTCTTAGTTTTCAACCACGAAGTTTCCAAACATTGCCGGCGACTTGAACTGGGTATAATAATAATAATAATAATAATAATAATAATAATAATAATAATAATAATAATAATAATAATAATAAAATGGTTTCCACACAATAACAATACTTTCCCATTACATGAAACAGCTAAACGTGCATGTCTTGCACATTTGGTAAGAAGGCTATCAATTTTGGGGATCGGTCTGGTGGCCATAGTGGTTAGAGCGTCCGCCTCGGATGAGGGAGGTCGCGGGTTTAAACCCCGGCCGAGTCACACCAATGGAACTAACAGCTGCCTCTCTATGCGCTCAGCATTAAGAGGTGCATGGTTTGTTAGGACTGGTCGGCCTGGTGTCAGAATAACAATACTGGGCGGAACACGATACTCCGTGTCTGAGGCATGATGTCCCAGTACTAGACATAACTGTAAACTGCCACACTGCAGATCGTAGTGATATAACTGAAACATTGTTAAAGCTACGTTAAAAATCCAAACCACACAAATACACATATCAATTTTAGGGGTCTAAAGTTAAACTGTCAAGGCCACTCCACACAGAAGCATCAATTCTAGGTGTTCTATATATGGCACACAAACAAACGAGACTGAGAACGGAAGTTGACATTATTTGAACTAATATGGCAGACGATCAAAACAAAAATATGGGATAAAAAAGGTAAACGAGATTTTACTACTATTTATACAATGATTTGCGATAATTCCAGTATTAAATAAGAGGACTGCTCGTTTTTTTTTCATTATATATATATATATATATATATATATATATATATATATATATATATATATATATATATATATATATATATATATATATATATATATATATATATATATGTGTGCAAAAGTTTTTATATTAGGCTAAAAAAGAGCCGGGTGTGAATCACACCGGGCTGCTCCCGTTACACAAATACACTCATGTTAGTACCCTGTCCAGAAGGTAGGACTAAGGGTACTAATATTAGTACTAGGTATACCTTAGCCAAAAGTTTCGGTTGGCTTCACTTAAAAAAAAAGCCGGTATAGTTTGGGGGCTAAAAGGTCAAGGTCATTTAACTGAAAATCATGTAGGTCGTGAGGTCTGTGTTATCAAATAACTACGAATGCTAAATGTAAAGTACCAGATCAAATTTCATCAACGCCTTAGTTTTGTCTCGTCTATCAGTACATAAAGAATATTATACTCGCAATTTCAAAGATAAATTAACTTTTCATCACATTCATGTGGGTAGGGCATGTTATACTGATTTGTATGCATTCGACCTAATGTTATTTAGCTTTTACCGAACCCGCTCGATTTGTGCGAATTCCAACTGTTCCATAAAATGTGCTCTGGCCTTACTTTAAATGTTAATACAGACAATGGAGTAGGAAATGTCAGCGGAAACCGAAACTAATTCTATTAACTCATTTGTTTTCTAACAGCACAATAAATTAAACATTGCCGAGCTTTCTGGCTATTTGGAACGCAGATGATTTTACTAGTTATAACAGCAAATGCACCATGCTAACTAATCAGTGCAACAAGGATGTCCTTTTTTGTATTGAGGTTCAACCAGTCTATCCAAACGAGGTCGGCTCTATCATTACATGTTTGTCAGTTGCCAATATGCCGTTCGTGTTGACTTACCAAACTGATAATCTACTTTAGTTTGAAGGATAACTGGCATTTCTTTAAGTATATGCAGTTTTTAAAATAAACAAAAACATTTGAAAAGTATACTCTCATTGATAAAAGATTTTTTTTAACGCATCAGACGTATGTTTTTGCGTCGGAAAGATACGTATTTAAAGTATTAGCTACCATACTTTGATAGATTTCCATCCGGAACTTAGGATTAAGAAATAAAACTTATAATTATGTCTGGAAAGAAATGTTAGATACAAGATATTCTTATGTTGTATTTTATTTTGAGTTTAAAGATCATAATATTTGTTCAAATAAAATGATTCAAAATATTATAATAACAAACTCTGCTAGAGACGACATTTTTGCCTGCATAAGGCGGTTCTACTGTTGAATTCTTATAATGTTGTTGTTATTGTTGTAGGGTTTAAAGCCATTTTCAGTACAATATAGGCGGCCAGTATAAATGGTGGAGGATGAAACCGTGAAAACCCCGGAAAGAACCACCGACTCACGAGAAGCTACTGGCAAGCTTTCTCACGTACTCACAATGGACGAAACCAGAGACTCGAACCCACGTGCTTTACATCACCCGTTCCATTCTGGTACCCTTTGTATAATGTAAAGAAAAGGCAGTCCTTGGAGATAAATTCTTGCATCCGTTTTAGACAATAGTTTCGCGAATAATTGAAGAAGAAGAAAACCCAAAGCTTTTTAATTGTCTACTTGGCTGAAAAATATGATGTAAAAACCGACATTTGCAATGAAAACGGAAAGGGGGGTACAACTTTTTAAAAAAAATTTAAATAATTTCTTTTGAGCTAATATTTGTCTGGAAATTATATGAACAAGTTTTGAATAAAAAAAAAAACATTATACTAGTTGCAAAGTCTTTGTTTTCACGTGACATTGCAGAATTGATAGATCGAATCCATTTCATTATCTTTTAGTTTGAATATAACCATTTATTGCTAAATTTATCTCCCCGTGAGTGGGTGTATCTGTGTGTGTGAGAGATAAATTTATCAATCAACAGTTACATTCAAGCTAAATAAATAAGGGAATGTAATGGTTTCGACGCATCTGTCCATTGCTTTTATGTGAATCGTGTTTGTCTGATTGCCAAGCTTATTCTTTTTTGTTACAAGTGTTACCTTTAAAATAAATTAGGAATTAACACTCCATTTTTACATTAAACAAACGTGAAATGTCAACTTTTAAATGAAGACGTCAGGGTTTCACACATGAAAGAACCGGCAGTTTGCTTTCGTAGTTTTAGTTCAGCTGTTGCTGATCATAATTTTACTCCACAAAAACATTTCAACGCAATGTTCAGATGCTGTCACGTGATTGTGAATGGGCACAACATTTTTGCGCTGGATGCTGACTTGTAAATTTTAATTGCAACATATTTTACCATATAATTGAGGATATAAAGGGACACCGAAGTCAATTGCTCCGGAATTTAGTGGACGCCCCCTTTCAATACAGTTTACAGCATTTGTAGCATTTCCTGTTGGTAATAAGTGAAATACTGTAGACATGCCACTTTAAGATTGCATTTAAGTGCTGTGTTTTGCTCGACACGATTCTGTACCATCATGGTACCTAAGGAGTAGACCGCTGATTGACTGTGCCAGGTATAATGTACTAGTAAACCTTGAATAGGGGATAATTGCTCCGGGCAACACATGCTTTTCATGGACCTACGAACACGAATATCTCTATTCACCAGAATTTCTTAACGAAATATAGACAGGTAGGTCACGCACGTGTGCTACTATTATTTATTGCTATTTACAGTCCTGAATTTTTGTTTTTAACTTGAGCCCTGGGTGGTTGAGTGAGATAAATCGCTGACCTATACAGATCACCCGTTTTACCTCTGTCCACAGGAGCCAGGCTCGCCATTACGGATCACTGCCATTTCACCTCTGTCTGCGTTGGTTTAAGTCTCGAATTCGGCCAATGTGCGTATGTGAGAAAGCTTGCCTGTAGCTTTTCGTGGGTCAGTGGTTCTTTCTGGGATTTTCCCGGGTTCTTCCTCCACCATTTATACTAGCTGTGTATACCTACAGCTATAGACAATTATCCGTTTCTCGTCATCCTCATAAACCCATGATGCAGATTGTTATCAGATTTATCATTGAACTTTATATTTCATTTGTTGAAGGGGTTCCGAGTGGTCTAAAGCGCTGTCCGTTACGGATCACTGCCATCTCACCTCTGCGTGGGTTCGAGTCTAGGATTCGGCGAATATGCGAGAAAGCTTGTCAGTAGCTTCTCGTGGGTCGGTGGTTCTTTCCGGCGATTTCCCGGTTTCTTCCTCCACCATTAATACCGGCAGCCATGAATAGCCTATCGTGTGCTGAAAAATGGCGTTAAGCTCAACAACAACAATCATTTGTTGAAGAAAGATTATTTGCATAAACAGCTGAAGAGAATTGTTTAATGTTGTCTTACTTATTATCAATGACAAAACAATACAACTTATCGTTTTTCAATTTATATATTTCTGATTCTGAAGCGTATTCAAAATCGAATGTAGAGTAATCCGATGGTCTTTCTGCCAACCAGACTAGGAAACCCTCACGTGATCATGCCCTATGACGTCACGGCGAAGTTTACATACATACATACATACATACATACATACATACATACATACATACATACATACATACACACACACACACACACACACACACATACATACATACATACATACATACATACATACATACATACATACATACATACATACATATATATACAATTCCAGTTGTACCAATATTATGATCATTAAGATATTTTGTCAGTATTTACTTTCTGTCTCACTAATGTGTCGAGGTTGGAAATATAATTGTACATTCACATGCTAAAGAGTTACTACCCTAGGGGTTAAACTTGTTTCATTTCTTTTTTTAATTGAAAGGTTATCTTAGGTAATGCATGTTGCACGCATACTAAAATATGACTATGGGTGCCTTCTTGAACAGTTGATTCACTGGTACTCGGGGTGAACACCACTCTTTTTACACAGACGTCTGACAAACTCGTAATGTGTATACTGTATATTTGTATTCATATAGATGCTGAAAATTACATCATGTTAAGCATTGCTTAATATTATTCATATTTAAATCACGATTTTTAACATTTAACATACACCAAACCAATTACTTGCACTAATAAAGTGAAAAGGCATTAAGCATTGCTTAATCGCCACATGGATACATAACAAAAATTAACGTAAAACTGTTGCTTCTGGACTTCTGCTTGCCAGTGACATAATAAGCGTTTCATATCCTTGAATGAATTACACAATAAATAAAAGAAATTAAAATTGGGTGATAAACGTACAGTTGCTATCATTTGTCTAATAGGTGATGTTATCTTTGATTTGTTGAATCTTCTCTCTTCTTTGGTGAAATAAATATTCTCATTATAAATGTATAACTAGATCAGCTTATCATTTAAAGATTCGGTGACATACTAGAGGGCTACTAACCCATTTGCATACATTTTATATAAAAAAGACAGCATCAATCCAATAATGAAAAATATAATTATGTGTAAAACACGTGCATCTAAGATAACTAACATCATTAGTCGAACAGAGGCA